ATTGCTCCAATCTTCCTTAGTTGGAGGACCTCTCTTTGAGTCCACATAATCCCGAAATGCAGAATCATTGGGGCTCGCATGCAAGAAGTTAAAAACAAGCTCAAACCTTTCAGCAGATTCCAACATCAAATAAGTTGAGTTCCACCTAGTTGTAACATCCAAAGATACAAGTCTTCTTCTATCCATTTGTAGATATTCAATGGCAGATTTGAACTTTGCACTTCTACCTGGTGATGACTTCACCCATTTCACACAATCTCGAACCCTTTCTACAGAAACTCCAACCTCCTTCAACCCATCTGACACAACCAAATTGATTATATGTGCCACACATCAAAATTGCAAATACTTCCCACCAAGCAAATCTGTTCCCTACTCTTTCATTTTTGTTCTCATACACTCTATAAGAACATCATTAGAAGAAGCATTATCCATGGTAATGGAGAACAAATGTTGTGCTTTCCAATCTTGTAGACATTCTGCCAATTTTTCTGCAATATCCTTCCCACTATGACTAGGGATGGGAACAAAGCTAATGATCCTCTTCTGCAGCTTCCAGTCACTCCCAATGAAATGAGCAGTTCCACACATGAAGTTCTGGTTGTTATCAGAAGTCCATGTATCTGTGGTGATAGAAATTCTTCCTTTGCACTTGGATTTGAAGAACTCAGATAGCAACTCTTTTTTCTCCAAAAAGATTATATAACAATCCTGCCTTATTGTGTGTCTTCCAGGTATCACAAACAATGGTTGGGTTTCCGCCATAAATCTCTTAAACCCTTCATGCTCAACAAAGCGAAATGGCAGCTCATCCAAGATGATCATTACAGCTAATGCAGTTCTAGCTTTTTGTTGATCAAACTTCCATGGAGTAAGCGAGCCTACCTCACCATTAGGGATGTCAATTTGGTTTGGTTTGGTTAACCAAACCATTAAGTATGAAAAACCAAAAACCAAATCCCAAAAACCAAAACCATTAAGGTCCTTATTGACAGACACTCATATTTATTCCTATTTCCCTCCTTTTTATTGAATAAACGTCATAATAATGGTAAATGGCCATTACAAATTATTGATTGTCATGTGTGTCAAAAGAAAAAAAAATGTTGATAAATAATTTTATTCTTATTGGTTTCTTAATGGTTTCTATTGGTTTTTCGGTTTTAACCAAACCAAAACCATTAAGTTGCTTATTGGTTTAAAACCAAAAAACTGAAACCATTAGCTTTCCAATTGGTTTGGTTTCGGTTAAAACCAAAACACCAAAACCAAATGGACAGCCCTACTCACCATCCCCAGGCTGATAATTCAATAGTGATTGACCACTGGCTGCCTTCCTCTTTCTCTCGCATGCCAAGTGATGGTTCTTCAAACCAGTAGTCCCGTTATTGATCGAGTGAGCTTTTATCAAAGTTCCACACTGTTTGCATTTACCATATGGGTAGTCATCCACCAGAGCATCATCATAATGATCCCACCACGGATATCTCTTCTTCCTTTCCGGTCCCTTCACATTTTTCTTTGGCTCAACCACTTCATTCGCTGGCGTAGTAACTGCAGGTGTTGCAGTATCAGTAGGAGGTGCATATTCAATGCCTGTGGTAGGTGTAGGTGTACTAGATGCGACATTCCCTTGAATCCCTTCTGCATCTCCAACACGAGTACCCAATTTTTTGGAAGTAGTTCGAGGAGGAACTGAACCACTTTTTTCGGACCATCTCCTTTACGAGGACGAGAAGGTTTTGTCCTATAACAAAAGTAAAATATCATAAAAAGTAAAAATCATTAAATTCCATTGCAAACATGTCAAAAAACAAAAACCACCCAACCATAAACCATTGAACCACTATCTTACATTTTTCACTTTGTTTCTCAAGTAACAAAAAACCAAAAACCACCCCTTGACCTTGTGGTTGTGATCGGCTGTACCACCCCTTGTTTAGTTGTTTTCACTTTATTATATATTGCGATTTGCTTCTGCCTTCTGCCAAAAATGAACAACAATACAAAATTACAAATTACAAAACAAACTAATTCTTAGTAGTTAATATATTACTTCTGCCAAAACCGAAAATCACATGCTTCTCTCTTCTCTGCTCGGCAGACGGCAACAGTCTACAAGAGAGTCGAGCGTCGAGACTACGACAGTCCACAAATGACAAATCAATGAATGGACCATGGTAATGGCGAAAATCAATGGACCATGGTAATAGCCTACGTACTCGGCTACGCGGCTACGCCAGTTACCTTTCAAATCGACGGAGAGTCGGAGAAGGCGAGCTGCTGGGCTGTGCAATCGAGTGATTAACCTCAGACAGCGACGAGGTTCGACGCAAACAGGGACAACGACGAAGGGCGAGCTGCTGGGTCGTGTCTCTTGGCCGGAGCTTGCGCCAGCGACGCGGACGACGAAGAGAATACCGCCTACCGGTTTCGATCGACGACGGAAGGGCTTACCGGAAACAGAGCCTGGCGGAAGGGCTTGCCGGAAACAGAGCCTGGCGGTGAGGATGACAGCTGCTGGACTATGTCTGTGTCTGTCGCTTGGATGGAGCTTGACAGCTTTTTGCCGGCGACGGAGATGACGAAGTTACTGTCGGATTGGATGAACGGAAGAGTGATCGACAGACGGCAATCGACCAATCGTGCAGTCGTTCTCGTGCAGCAGCCAGCAGGGTAGGGCAGCAGGGGAAATAAAGCCCGATGCAAAATTGCAAATATAGTCTTAGGTTAATTGCTTAGGGTAGGGCTTCTGTTGGGAGAGTCGGAGGCTATGGACTTTTGAATTTTGATGGATTGCGGCAAGTCGGCAACTGGGTTTGGCGAATGGCGATGCTTATTCCAAATCGGTAACGGAATACCGTTCAGCCGACGGTATTTTACCAGTCCAAGCTCGGTACACCGTTCCCCCAAAAAACCCATCCGATTATCGTTTGATTCGGTTAACGGGTTAACCGATAACCACGGTTACCGGTACGGTTATCGGTTAACACGTTAACCGGATTACCGGTTAGCAGCCCTAGATGATTGTATGAGTACTCTTACTTAATAATCTTGAGTTCATATTCAATCTATGCATGTTTTCATGATTTAATTCTGCTTTAGTCGAGATTATTGATTCTGCTTTGATCCTATGAGAGCGAATACCTGATTAGGTCAATAGAGCACCATAGATTGATAGTATTGGATCGATTGCTTTAGTCGAGGGTTGATTCAATGCTTTGTATCGATTAAGAACCTCATTCGATAGAGGGAATCTAGTTCAGAACGCCTTGAACGGTTGTTCTAGAGAAGGATACGTCCCTCTAGGCAATTGACTCAAGAGGGCCTTGATCCTTTAGTCGAGATTCAAGGTTTAGTCAAGGATTCTCCGCATTGTGAATGAAAGTGAAACAAGTTAGAGATCATCCATCATTAATCTGGCTAGTGGCTAGGGGGAATCATACCTAAGTGAGTTTCCAACCTGTAATTATATTAACTTTAACTGTAGTTTGTTAGAGTAGTTTTAGTTCTTCCATCTTAATCTGGTTTGCTAGATAATGAACTAAAGCTGAGTAATAGTAACTCTAGAGACCCGTGGATTCGATATTTATTACTTGAGCCACTATACTGCAGTTCCTTTCATTGGTTACACTTGGCCATTGTTAGGAGTTGTGTCATAGCGAGTCACTAACCAAAGTTACAACCCAATGAAAAGCCTTCTAGAAAATGTAGTGTTGAGTGTTGACCCATTCAAAAAAATTCGACCGTACTGGAAAATGTTTAGAAGCTAGTTTCATGGCAAAGAGAAGATAAGATTGAGATATTTTACATGAACATCTTTTGCATAAACTATGTTCTTGACTCCATTGTTCGCCTGTTGAGCGATTCATTTCATATTCTAAATCTCGGTGAGGACCTAGTTTGCTCAACTTCTTGTTCTGTGTGACTTAATATCTGTGTTTATATAGTTGGGGTACTGGTTGACTAATCATGTTTGTTGGAGGTTTTCTAAGTCCGACGAGGTGATTTTATTGTTGTGTCGAATGTCATCTGTTGTGGTTGCTAATATCTCTCTCATGTTGCTTCATGTATTATTGTTGATGGCAATTTGTGATTCATCTTCTTTGTACCCCTTTGATTTTGACTGAGTGGTTTTGAAATGAATGTCTTGCAAATTAAATTTGTGTTTTACTCATTTTACTTGAGGGCAAGCAAAAAACTAAGTTGGAGATTTTGATACATGCTTAATTATACATGTTTTACCATGTGTTTCTTGATCATTTCTTGGTTGTTTACTAGAAAAAGCCCTCTCCTTTGTCAATTTTACGCTACGTTGGGTTCTTTTGTAACATTTCAGGTCCTAGCGTATGGCGAAGGCTTGGCAGCGGGTTTCATGGTGTTTGAGTCAGCACAAAAATTGATAAAGCCACCAACGATCTAACTTCTAAATAGTTGGAGGCTCAATCGATTTGTGCCTTACATAGATGAAAACTTCAAACGACCGTAATTTTGTGTTCGGTTATCTTATCGATGCAAAGTTTTCTTTGATTCCACATAACTTTTTGAGATCTACGAAGCAGCAAAAAAATTATTTAAACAAAATTGCATTGCTCAGATTGCGTATGTTGGCAGTGAGGGTTAAATGCATCTGGTGTCACTTATCTAGCACATTTGTTGCACATTAGCTACTTAATTGGATTTGGTTTCTGTAGACACCTCATTTTGTCCGGGTAAATTATCCAACTAAAAATTCCAACCTCAAGATACTGTTTAGATTGACCATTGCGAATCTAGAATATTAACGATTATACAATTATTTGAATTCATTCCAGTGGATCTAATAAGATCTATTGGCTTCCAATCTCGGCTTTTGGTACAACACAAATATAATAATAATAATAATAATAATAATAAAGAAGAACTTATTATTAAAATTATTACTTAATTACAATTACAAACATAATACAAATTACAAATGAGAAATACTACATGAAAATTACGATCAATACATGTTTCTTCCATCTCTTTTGAAGCCAGCCATGGACCTGCAACAAAGGGAAACAAGGTCAGTTCAAGTCCATATCAAGCCTAAAGTCCAAGTTCAAGCACAGGCTACAAGACTAGAGCCCACATGTGAGCCAACCAAAAGCAGAGCCAGCCCACAAGGATCAGTCAAGGCTCGATCAAGGCCCAATTCTAAGGCAAGCCCACATGGTTAGAAACGACCCGGCCAGCTCAAAAACGACCAAATCCAACCGACCGTTCGAACCAGAATTGGTCTGGCCAAACCCAGACACCACCGCCTCATTTTTCTATAAAAGGAGGCCCAATTCCCAAGGAGAGGGGACAGCTTTTCAGAAGGGGAAAAGATTGGGGGGAAACACTTTCATTTCTTTCTGTCAGTTCAGAGTTCTTTTCTTCTCTTCTTGGTCAGGTCGGAGAGGGAAGAAACAGGGGAGAAATAGTTCCATTTCTTTCACTTTGTCAGTTTATAGTGGTTTTCTGTTTTTGGTTGGTTCTGGGGAAAATAGAGAGAGGGGGGCAAACACTGTTCTTCCATTTTCATTTTTTGTAATAGAAGCAGAAGATTCCCAGCCTAACAAAGGCATAAGAAAACTTGCAAATCAAAGGTGAATCATCAATCCACTTGTAATAACACGGCTTCCTCTATCCTTCTTCTCTTCCCATTTCTTGTTCTTTTCATTCTTGCAAAACTGTTTTCTATTATTATTGGTGTTGTTATTGCTACTGTTATTTACTCCTATCAGCCACAATCATCTAATTTTTAGCTTTCCATACAAAGCTTTCTTATAATAAGGAACACCAGTCAACTCCAAAATCAAACTACAACAAGACCAAACTGTTTTTAGAAAAGAAATCACAACTTAAATCAATCCAAACTTTACCAATTTCATTTACATTATCCGGATCAGCTCTTCCTTTCAGCTTTGTTTTATTTTCAATCCATTTATCTACTTATTTCAAGCACATTTACTTTACTAACTAATTACTCATAATAACTTATTACTATCTCTACTGTTACATTAAGCTAAGCTAATTAGCTATTATGCTATTTACTCTCTTTTATTTTACAATTCCTTTATTTATGTCATATTTTGATCCATTTATTTTCTAGAACTAGAATATAGATGAGATCACCAAAAACAAATTCGTCATTTTTCCTAAATACCCAAAAAGCACATCCATTTCAACAAAGCTATATTAATCGAAAGACACTAGTATGTTAACCGAAAGGCTAAATTTAGAATTGATTCTGAGCTTTCAAAACCATCGATTTTTATTAGAACCCACCAAATAAACCTCCAAATCCAGTTTACGACAAACAAACATTCATTCCTAAAACTCAGATCTGTAAACCGTTTTCAAACCTACACTATAATCCATTTTTAGTGTTTCTCCCAAACCAATTCGAGCAGAGTTTAGGGAACCTCACCTAATCAATATCGTCTTAAGACCTGCTTCAAAGCAGAAATAGAGGTCAGAGTCGATTAAGAGTTAATAAACCAAAAATAAAAATTACCGAGACAAGAAAACTCACCTGCACCGTCAATCACCGTCGACGGAGCTTTGACTCCGGGGATCTAAGCCACCAAACGTCTCCTCTTTCTCCCCTCGATCGTGGCCAAATCAGGCGACCCCCAGAAAACCCGAATCAACAAGCAAAACCAAAACCCAGAAAATTAGTAGAATCCAAACTAAAATCGGGAAAAAAAATGGAAGGTCGTGCATGTCTCGTGGCTACCTAGATCGGGGCTTCACAGCTGGTTTAAGCTCGATCTAAGCCATCATTTTGGCTAGCCGAGAGGAGAGAGAGGGATAGACCAAAATCGAGTCGTCCTCCTCCTTTTCTATCGATTCTCACAAGGAGAGCGGATGAGGGAGAGGTCGCGTTTTTCTTCCTTTCCTGTCCAATTTTTTCGTTTGAGATTTCTGTAGAAATGGCGAGAGAATTAGAGGGAGGTCCGAGACGGTTTTGGCATTAGTCGATCTCTAGTGGGATATCAAGAGGAGAAGAAATAGACGAATGGAGAAGAGAGGAGAGTGGTCGTTTTTTTTCTTGTTCTTTCTGCAGATGAAAAACGAGAGAGGGTGAGCGGCGGCCTATTTAGAATTAATTAGGGTTTTCTTTTCGTCTTAAGAGACGAATATATAGCACAAATTTTAAAATGACCAAACTACTCTTACCCCCTGTTTTTTAAGGGAGGAAAGGAGGGGGAAGGGAAAAGTAGGGAGGGAAATGATGCAATCGAGGCACTTTCTCCCGTTTCTCAAATGAGGAACGGTATGGAAGGAGAGAAAGATCAAGGGAAAATGTACTGTGCAACTGAACCCTCCAAATCGGAAAGAATCGGAAGGAAAATGGCAGTCTTTCTCTGCGGTCTCACATCTTACATCCTTTTATTATTTTTTTAATAACAACATTTTATTGCTGTTAGTCGTCTAGTGAAAGAAAGAAATAAAAGTCTATTGCTACTTTATAATTAACCACTTTGCATTTGTCTCTCACGCCTTTCTTTCATATTTTCCTTTTGTTAGAGAAATTTATTTGTTTATTCTAAATTGTTTACTTAGATTTTTAACAGTATCAAACATTTTATACACAAAAAAAAAAAACAATAATGAAGTGCTACATAATGAATTCAATTTCATAGAGCGCAACAATTGGTACTCATTTTTTGTTTCGTAAAGTGTTGAGTTCAATCTAGCAATAAGCACAACTTTCAATATGAGGTTTATTAACGTCTTGACACTTACAACGTTGTTTCACACGATATGTAAAACTTGTTACGTGGAGATATAAAGCGTGTTAAGTTTCAAATAAAACGACATCATATTGTAAAAAATTTATAGAATAGAATAGATAGCATATTTTACAACAGAGTGATCAAAATTTATAAAAAAAAATAAATCAAGTTAAAAAACGAAACATGTTCCGTTGAAAAATGTTGAAAATGGTTACAATAAAGATTATGTAGAAGTTGATTATTCATAGTATTCATTTCCACATATATTTTATATTCATTTCCATATATTTACTATTATATAACCAATAAAATTACATATCTATCACATTTTCCAATATACTTTTTCCTTCTACTTTTCCTTCATAAAACAACATTTTTCCTCCCTTTCAAAATTTCCCTCACCTCCCTTTTCCTCCCCTCCAAATTTTCCTTCCCCTCCCTTTTCCTTCCTTCTTTCGGAAACAGGGGGTTAGGGTTCTCAGTGTATTACTCGGCCTTGCCACCGCCCTCTTCTCCTTAGATCGACAAAAAATAAATACTTTTCATGGTTTCGAAATGGTGACCTTGAGCTTCCACCCACCCTGCCATTAGTAAACTTTGCAAACCACTAAGCCGCAACATGATCTTTGCATCATTCGGCCCTCTTTTGTTATTATCTTCAATCAAGCTTAATACGTAATCAGTTAAAGCTCTTGGACATCTAGACCTATTTACATAAAAATCTCCTAAGTTTATTTTTCCACTAAGTCATTACCCATTTGTATACGTTTTATTTTCTAACGATTCAGTAAAATGAAATCATGGTTAATAGATCATGATGATTTTTATAATGAATCCTTTCATAATCATCAATCAATTGATTCTAGCTAACCAATAATTTTTCATTTTATCAAGATGTACGTCAATAGACATATCATGTACCAATAGTCTACGAAATTTATTTTAACTTAATAGTCCAATAGGGCTTTAAGTTAAATCATTAACAAATTTTAAATAATAACTATCTAATTAATCAAATCATATTATTAAATACATCAAGAAAGTCGCAAATAATAATACACCCAATTCTTAAAAAAAACCTGTCGATTTAAGTAGTACCCTTTGGGGCGTTGTGGGGTGTGAATACACTTCCCCACGCGTAACCGTATTCCCGAACCCATAAAAATCTAAAATTCGTAGACCAACCCCCGGTTTAGACCATTAGGTCAATACTGGGACCGAAGGTGTTCGATCCAACACAAGTAAGATCGATGGCGACTCCGAGCAATTTGCGACGGATCCCCCGATCTCGAGGGGCGGTTGCGACAGTTTCAACTAAACCATTTAAGCCAAATTTCGGTAGTAATGCCAGCATTTCTGTCATGAGACGTAACGACAAGTACTAAATGGACAATCCATGCTGACAATCCATGTCAGCAAAACTGTTGAGTCATCACTACATCAAACCATAATTAAACAACCATGTCATGTCCATCCTAACGGGATCGATCGAAACAAAGCTCCCGTAGCTCTTCTGTTACGGGATCCACCTCCCCGTCCCCTTTCCTCCACGTCACCTCACTCAACTCTTTCGCTTTCATCCTCACGTCCTTGGTTTGGTCTCCAATGATCCAGCCCAAACTTTTGTATTGTGTGTGTTATAAACTCGCTGCTACGGATAGGGAAATCGCTGGAATCGACAAAGCAAGAATACGAAAGCGAGAATCGAAAAACACAGACACACGATTTACGTGGTTCACTAACACGATGTGTGTTAGCTACGTCCACGGGCGAGAGAGAGCCAGTTTCACTATATCAAGGAGATTACAGAGGAGTATGAGAAGTATTTATAGTACTTCTCCATGTGGGTCTAAACCTAATCCAATATGGCAAAGGAAACGGTTACAGACCAGGCCCAGAACCCGAACCCAAATAACATTAAGCCCATACACCGGGCAGCGAGACCCCCGATTACCAGTCGTAGCGGCTGATAGTCCGATTCAAGTCACATCAACAAATCTCCACCTTGACTTGAATCCTCTTCCTCTGAAATCTCTGATGTACTCTGCTCCTTCTCTCTCTCCCGCCATCAATGCCCCGTAGGGTGGAGTCACCCACTCAAGACATTCAGCAAGTCCAAGCAGTGTTGGAACTTGCCAAGTGGAACCGGCTTCGTGAACATATCAGCAGGATTATCCGCGGTGCCAACCTTCTTCACCTTAATCCTCTTCTCTGTCCTCAAGAAATGATACCTCACGTCGATGTGCTTAGTCCTCTCATGGTGAACTTGATCCTTGGCCAAACATAATGCACTCAAACTGTCACAATACACCACTGCCTGATCATGATGTAGACCCAGATCACGAACCAGTCCCTTCAACCATATTCCCTCCTTAGCAGCTTCTGTCAATGCCATATACTCTGCCTCAGTAGTCGACAATGTCACCGCCGACTGCAGAGTTGCCTTCCAGCTCACTACACAACTCCCAAGAGTGAATACATAGCCGGTCATGGATCTCCTCGTGTCAACATCTCCAGCATAGTCCGAGTAAGAATACCCAGACACCAAGCACTCTGTATCACTTCCGAAGCTAATCCCCACATCAGGTGTACCCTTAAGGTACCGGAAGATCCTCTTCACAGCCTGCCAATACTTCTTCCCAGGTTGTATCATAAACCTGCTGACAACACTAACAGCATGTGCAAGATCAGGTCTAGTGCATACCATAACGTACATCAAGCTACCTACTGCACTAGCATATGGTACTCTCGACATGTACTCCTTCTCAGCCTCTAACTGAGGTGCATAAGCTGAGGATAGATGAACATTTGAAGCACTAGGAGTATTTAAGGACTTTGCTGAAGACATGCCAAACCTCGACA